TTACTACTAGTAAGGCCAGGAGCCCCTAGTAGCTTCTTGCTCCTAGTAGCGTGGCACTTGTTTCTAATAGCTTCTTGTTACTACTAGTAAGGCACCTGTTACTACTAGCGTGGCACTTGTTACTAGTTCTCTCCTCCAACCTGAGAAATGAAGATGACAACACCTAAGAAGCTCCTAGTAGCGTCCTTTTCTCCTAGTAAGGCCAGGAGCCCCTAGTAGCGTCCGTCCTAAGAAATGATAAGAATGATGACAAACTCTTTTCACATTTGTTATTGTGGGATGGGACGTGATAGTATGCGTTGTAATCATGAAGCCTAATAATGCCTCACCCTCTTCTGTGTACCGCAAAGCCCCATACCTGCAACCGAGGAGAAGATTAGTAGATATTGGTAGCTTCTTGCTACTAGTAGCGATGGCCACCACCGAATAGCGTCCTTGCGACCACAGTGCTTTGTGTTTGAAGGACCTGAGCCAGTACACGGAGATCCGGTGCCCTGGTCGCCGAGTCATGTAGAGAGTGAAGCAGAGACGTTTCGGATGTAGAGAGTGAAGCAAATGCACATGACAGCAACAATACATGTTGAAATCAGTGACAGTTAGGTTGTTGTTTGTCGTGATCCAAGGACCTTGTGCTTGGCGAAAGTCCCGCCCAAATTGCCTCCAGCCATTGCTAGCCTCAAGAGGTGGCTCTGTGCCATGTCGGTCGGAGAAGCAACGTCGCTCAGAGTTTCTCTTCCCGGTCTCGGATGCCTTGTTCCAGCGAATGAAATAGAGCTAATGCTTTGGCATCCTTTCGCCTTTGACAGTATAGTAGCCTACTGTAGGCTTTAAACTAAAGCAGCCGCGCAGCAGCACCATTACGACGCGTCCAGTGTTCGCGAGGTGTCCAGAAGTGCATCTGGAAGAACGTGCAAGGCATCGGCGCCGAGCTTCTCCCCGAGCTTCTTGTTACTACAGGTGAAACGATTCACAGGGAAACCATTCCCAAGGAAGCTTCTAGTTCCTAGTAGCTTCTTGTTCCTAGTAGTAGTGCCAGGAGCTACTAGTAGCGTCCTTGCTCCTAGTAGTAATGCCCTTTGCTACTGGTGGCTTCTTGTTCTTAGTAGCGATGGCCTCCACCTACTAGCGTCCTTGTGAGCTGAAATAGATAGTGCCTGGTGAGTCACAACACAAGATGGTGTGCGTAAGCGCTGCACCCTTTTGCCTTGCTCGGAAGCCAATTCACTATCAATCTTTGCCGGATTAACCCAAAAGTTGCATTCTCAAAGTACGACTGCCAAGCCACTTTGAGAACTTTTGTCCCAATCCAAGACTTCCCAACATCCATTTCCTGTGGGACACCCTGGTGTGTCTTTGTTTTCGGGCCCTTCACAAACCGCATCCTACACGTGGGTGGAGGCCATCGCTATTAGGTTGGAGGCATCGCTGGTAGGTGGAGGCCATCACTAGTAGGTGGAGGTCGCAATTAGGTTGGAGGCCATCGCTAGTAGATGGAAGGCCATCGCGAGTAGGTTGGAGGCCATCGCTAGTAGGTTGCAGGCCAACGCTATTAGGTTGGAGGCCATCGCTTGTACGTTGGAGGCCATCGCTATTAGGCTGGAGGCTATCGCTTGTAGGTTGGAGGCGCTGTGGTTGGAGGCCAACGCTAGTAGATTGGAGGCCATCGCGATTGGGTTGGAGGCCATCGCTATTGGGTTGGAGGCCATCGCTAGGTTGGAGGCAATCGCTATTAGAGCGCAGGTCCATGTTGCAGCGGCTCTTCCGGCGGATCCGACCTACAGAGTGGCACCAACTTGAACAGGGCGCTGAGGACCTCAGCTGTTGTCGGGATTGATCTTCACAGAGTTTTCAATCTGGACATGTTTCAAGTTTTCCATACCAAAGATATCCAAAGATAGAACCCTGCTTCGCTAGAAACCATACCCATTCAGTTCAGCAGGTGACCCCATTCGAGTGAAGTGCGATGCCCAATGGAGCTTCCCGAAGCCCACAAATCTCCAAAGACTATGACTAGCTCAATGTGCTACTAGCAGGAGTAAGGCGCCTGGCTACTAGTAGCGTTCTTGCTACTAGTAGCGATGCACTTTGCTACTAGTTGTGTTCGTGCCCCGGCTTGGAAGCGGGAAGCTTTGCGGAATCGACAGACTCCACTCTATGGAATTGCCTGAGCCAGTGTGGCTCAAACGCCAGATTTCGGATCCGTCACGGACAAGCCTCTCATGAGCAATTGCAGAGAACGCTAGAAAAAGTTGCCGCGGATTTGTTGCCAACGCGGAGATGGTTGCGTGACTCACAACATGATCAAACACATAACGGGGAAGCTATGGGTGACTTGGACGTGCAATGTCTTAAACCTCTCCAAGACAAACGGGTTGGTGCCATAGCTTTGAGGAAATTACACCTCAATTAGTTGGGAATTTATTTGTTTGGGGAGCGTGTGCCTCAGACCCATGGGCTTCAAGACATTCACAAGACTAGACCCAGACGGCAGACTTTGCGATAGACATTTTAAAGAGGCCTTGAACCACTAGAGTTCGTTGATAGGTTTTGGGTCTTGAAGAGATTTGATGTGTTCGATCTATCGGAAAGGTTGTCCAACATCTCCAGATATTCCTTCGAAGTTGTACTTGGCCGAAACCCTTGACGAAACCCTTGACGAGGTTAGACCGGCGACTTTATCGTCATTGTGAAAAAAGGCTGATGAGGATGGTGAAGTTGGAGAGGCCCAACGCACGGAGTTCAAGGTGAGCTATGACATGGAATTCAGAAGATTCCTGATGAATCCTGATGGATAGTTTGGTCTGCAAAAGAAATGAGCGCCGAAGACCCAAAGCAATCGTACAAACCCTGGGTAGCTCATTGGATTTGAAGCACCCCGGCTGCCAGATGCTGAAGGCATCAAAGGTAGAGCGGTAGGGCCCCTTGAGTATTACCACTGCTGAATAAAAAAGTAAGAATGAGACCTGACTGACAGAGTAAAACTAAGCTGTTGGCCGACTGGGAAAGACAGTTCGGGCATGACCATTTTCCAGGATGTTAACACGTTTTCCTTCCCCCCATGTTGCAAAGGCTTTACTTTTTAGTGAAACAAACTTGTTTGTGCAGTGAAAACTGCAGGGAGTTAACGCGTTAGGGAGGATTCTTGAGTTTATGCTTTGCTTGGATAACATGTCCTCTCAAGAGACCCCCCAGGGCGTATTAGGTTGCGCCCAATGGTTCTTGAAGTCTTGCTGCTGGTCACCCTTTTTGCTGGGAGTGGGAGTCGTGGCACTGTGGGTGCGCCGGGGTCCCCTTCAGCCCCCTTTGAGCGCATGCATTGGGCCCTCTGCGCTCGCAGCCTTGCAGTGGGATTGGCATTGATCGTGATCGATCATGGCTCGCATTCGGGCCCATTGTCATTGCAGCGAGGCCGTGTGGCGTGCGGTGGATCAAGCACTTGGTGGTGCGGCCACCCCCACACTGTTTGCCATGTTGCCTGCCTCCACTCTGAGGCAGGCCCTGCGGACGGTGCGTGTCGGAGCCGACGCCAACTGAAGGGAGTTGCGCGCGATGGAAATGATCCATGTCGCGTATATGTGGAGGGTGTCCAGGCAATCCCTCATGATGACAGACGTGAATCCACTTGCAGACCCTGCTCCACCACCAGCAGCTGCTCCAGCTGGCCCAGCCCCTGCTGGGGCCTCACCTTCAAAGAAGGTCAAAGATCAGATGGACGACACCTTTCAGGAGGGCCACGCAGAAGCAGTTGAAGACAAGGTCGTGGTTGCTTGGAGGACGGCGCGTTCAAAGCATTGGGAAAGGCTTGCTGGAAGGTGTTTCGTGCAATCCTCTTCATGCTGAGATACCCACCAGCCGCTGCAGGAGCAGAACATCTTCGAGTTGTCGCCTCAGCATGCCTGGAGGAATACTACGACCGTGTGGCCAAGCTGAATCAGGACTTCCATGGCACTTGATCATGAAGGCCACGGACAAATGCAGGTCAGATTCAGATGTTCGAGAGGTATCGAAGGCACCTCACCAAGGCGGCAGCGGACAATCGTCTTCCGATGGGACTGGACTTCCCGCCCAATAACCATGGATTGGGGTCTTCACCTATGCGGCACGGAACCGCGAGTTCTGGAACGAACGTGTGATCGGGCCTGCGACTATTTTCATCGCCAGGAAGGTCGAAACATCACGGTCAACATCCCACCTCCGGCGAAAGTCGCTTTGGGCCTGGACGACGAAGGAAGTGGCCGAAAGAAGAGGCCGAAGAAGCCAAAGAAGGAGACATCGTCTCAGCCAAGCGGAGGAGGCGGAGAAGGTGCAGACCATCCTCAAAAGTGGGGCAAGCAGTTCATTACCGCATCCGAGGGCCACGAACTATGTTTCCGGTATGCCAAGGGCAAGCCGCGGGACTGCCCAGACCTCTGCAAGGAGGGCAGAGTTCATGGGGCAGCGCCCGGGCTCTCAATGCGCGGAGAAACCATCAGGCAAGGCAAAGGGCAAGGGCAAGAACAAGAACAAGAACAAGAACTAACAGGCCAAGGAGAAGCTGAATGAATCAAAGCCCGGCCAACGAGAAGTCCATGGATGTCGGAACAGGGCAGGCCGAACCCTCTGCAAAGTGAAAGGAGTCGATGGACAGCGCGCCCTGGAAGTCGACCAACGACAAGAAGTTCGGGGAGCCAGACAGCACGCGCAAGTACAGATTCCTGGAATATAGGGGGCCGTACTGAGTGGATAAAATTGCAGGGGTCATTGCCTGGACTTTATCTGTGTGCCAGCCTGCCAGCGGGGTCTGTCCTCCAAAAAAATCAGCCCAAGTAAGGAGTGGATATTTTTTTGGGGGGGTGGATAAAATGGGGTCAGTGCATCAAAAATATCCAGAATAAACGCTCCAATTTTATCCACTCGGTAGTGGGAGTAGAAAAGGAAAGAAAAGATAGAACATCGCTCGTTGGACGTTCGTTAGGTTTCCGCTCGTTAGATTTTCCGAGCTCCATGGACGTCATGATCACAGAGAACCAAAAAATTGTCAGCGAAACTTGCCAACGGAACGTCAAAGCATCAGTCACCGCGGGCTTTCAACTGCTCCAACAGCTGGAAGCACTCTTGGTCAGCACCTTTCAGCCCTGGATCATTCTCAGTGGACCCTGTGTTTCGACGTGAGGAGTCTGAAAAATAGTGCTGGGGCCTCATACTCATCCAGGTTCATGTTAGAGTCTTCCTCATCGGGATCCTGCACCAGGTCTTCCATGAGATTCGCAGCCTGTGAAAAGGACACGTGTGAAACATGTGCGTCCTAAAAACAACCTTGATATTTTCCTTGGTACTGAGGTTGGGGAGATATACAAATGACAAGTTGTGGGATACGCTGAAATTAATCTTCTTCTGCTGCTTCTGCTAGGTCTGGAGAGCTTTCTATCAAAACTGCTCAACGGCAGCGAATATAGAAAAAAAAGTGCGCTGACATCTGGACAAAACAATTTCAATGCAGAAGTTCCGTTCAACAAAGAAGCTGCTTCCCAGTCGCTCTGGGCATGGTAGCCCTGATAAACTCCTGCTGGCATTCCTAAGTCCAGAGCGGCTGTCAAGGCCACAAAATACCGACCAAAATGTACAGTTCGACCAGCACTGCTGGCCATGCAGCCGACATTCTTTTGCAAGTGGTTGGATCCATTGATTCCAAACCAACCTCAACCACAACCAACCTTCTAAGGTTTGCAGACTTCCGCAACAATCCTTAGTTTTGCAGACCACCACAGAGCACATAGAGCGTTGGAAAAGAACCTGGGCCTGGGATCTTTTCTTTTTGTCTCGTTTGTCGATTAGCATCTACTTTTGGGGGGGGGTTCCTCGATCCTATTCGTCTAGCTTGCTAACCTCAGGCCTTCTCAAAATTATCTATCTGCACTGGTTGTGTACTTCTTTTTTTTTGGGCCCTCTGGCCTTCAAATTTATCCACCGGTTTTGGCTAAAAACCCGTCGGTCCCTGGAAATTATCCGGTACTGACCCCGGACGCCAGTACAACGGGGTATCTGGAATTGTTCGCAGGCAAAGCTGGCCTGTCACGAGAGATCGAAAGACTTTGCGGAAATTTCGTGGAGGTCATGCGACCTCTGGATGTGATGGAAGACTGGGACATTCTGACAGAAGAGGGCTTCGAGAAAGCGAAGTCCGCGCACACCACACCCACCTGGCCGTCCCTCACGAGCTCGAAGAGCAGATGGACATGGGTCAGTGCCTGTGATTCGATTGGACGATCGACCGGAAGGCTGGGGGCACTCCACGGCAGAAGAGGGAAACCGCGTCCTCGAGAGAGTGATCGCCCTGATCTACTTGATAGAGGAGGCGGGCAAAACGTGGTCCCTGCAGAATGTCATATGCCTGGGAACAGCCGAAGATGAAGAAGATCCTGAAGAGGCCAGGTGTACTCAACATGGAGTTGGACCAATGCGCACACCAAGAAGAACACCAGGATAGTGACCACATCGCCGTGGATGGCAAGAGCGCTTCCATCTCGCAGGTTGAGGAGTGGGTGTGGAAGACCTCGACTCAGGCACTGCAAACATGGCTAGAAAGTCTACAAGTTACGAATGGCTGGCAGCAAGAACTATGATCCACACCAAAGCCAACCAGCTTGTCTCCTTCTGAAGAGCAAGTTAGAGGTGCTGAAGAGCAAGCGAGACGAGCTGGCGGCACACAAGGAGAAGATCAAGGAGACCAAGACGGAAGAGAAAGCATCACACGTGCCACTCAGCGCTTGCAAGAGAACTTTCCCGCAGTGGGGGGCCTTCGAGACCCTTGCAAAGCTGTGGCATGTAGCAAGGCCCTGAGGAAAACAGGGCATCGAGCCCGGGGTTGGCCCTGTGCATTGGGGAGCGCGATTTGGAGCGCTTCGAACAAGACATGACTTTGTCTCCGGAGCTCACACACAGAGCACTTTCGAGCAATGCTGGAAGCTGATGCGCACTCAGCCAATTGAGCGCGCACATGTTCCCGGCAACAGACAAAGTGTCTGCTTCCATAAAGGCCTGACAGGCCATGGGTGATGGAGCTAGGCCACGCGGTGGACGCAGGACGCGGCGACAGAGCGAGCGCGTGGGCTGAAGTGGTGTCTCTCGTTGGACCTGGGGCAAAATTGACGCAGCTCGCGTGCAGAGAAGGAAAGGACGGGAAGATCAAAACCAAGCTGATCGTTGACCTGAGACGCTCTAGAGTGAACGGGCGCGTGTCCTTGTTTGAGAGAATTTGTCTTCCCCGGGTATCGGACGTCGCTTCCGCCACCTGAGAACTTTTGAATGAAACGCACCCTGAAAGTCTCTCGAGTTCATGCTTCGTCGATTGTTCGGACGCCTTTAACACACTCCATGTCAACCCTAGGGAACGGAAGTGGTTGCGCATCAAGTCACTAGATGGCGCGTACATCCTTCCGAAGTGCATTTGTTTTGGGCTCGCGCGGCGCAAGCATGTTTCCCTTCCCAAACGGCGAGGTTGCAGTGTTATGTTGATGACCCAATCATCATCGCTATAACGGCCGATGTGCACGCGGTCGCACCTTTTCGTTTCTTCAGACCACGTTGGTATGGGAAGCCCTGGGATTTAAGCTAGCTAGCGTGGCATAAAGCCAAAAGGGGCCCTTCCATCAATTGGATTGGTGTTCGGTTGACCTTGGTTGGTGAACTAGGTAGTCATTTGGAGGTTTCTTTGCCCCTGACAAAGTTGCCAAGATCACCAACGCCATCCACGAAGTGTTGAGACTTGAAAGAGCATGGTAGCCACCAGATGATTGGAGCAGTCGTGTGGGGTGTTGTCCTGGGTTTCCCATGTCCAAAGATCGGATGGCAGCGGGCGGAGACACGACAAAGGAAGGTTCTGACGTTCGCTCGTCAGGTGCCCCACCCGACCAAGTGGCTGAAGCGGCTACTTCAAGTCAAAGCCTGCCTCCCTATAGTTCGTCCGCGGCGCCTCCGTTAGTTCGCACCTTTAGATGGAACCGCAACCCCACAGTGATTCGAATCGAAACCGATGCATCCCCCACAGGTCTAGGAAGTGTCTTGTTCGTAGGCAACAGACTTACACTCTACATTGGACATACCCTGACAGACCAGGGCTGTAGAGATCTGGGCGGACAAGCGCGTTTGAACGACCTATACCAATCAGGATTTGACTTGTTAGCCATTTTCATCTCCATCAAACTGTTTTCCAAAATTTTAAACGAACAGCGCACTCAATTTTACATACGTAGTGATAGCACTTCGGCTTTGCGCACTGTCATGACGGTGCGGGGGAAGTCGCCTCTGATGGCACAGCTGGCAGGGGAGATCGCCCTCCAATTGGAGTCGCTCGAGATCGATGCAGTCGGCGCCTGAGAGGAGTCCTGAACCTTTGGGCCTGTGTGCTGCATGATCCGCTCTCATGAGCGAGGGTGTCAAGATTCCAGCAGGCTAGGGTTGAAGGACGCAGAACGGATGAGCATGCCACAACTAGCATCGCTGTTTCGAGCTTGGCCACACGCGTGACACGTTCACCTGTCAGACCGTCGCGAGAAAAGTTGAGCGCAGCTGAAGGGATTCAAGGGTGGTGTCGACAGCTAGGTTCATGCGACGTGTTCCAGAACATGTCAGGGCAGATGAAGCCCAACTTCCTCCAGCGTGATGGCCGGCAGGAGGGCACTTGGCTGGGCAGAGGAAGACGTGGTGGTAGTTCACCACGACAGAGACCACGAGTGAGGGGTTGCCTCACTGGACGGTAGCTCAATTGGTGAGCGAAATCGTCTAGATACAGTGGTCGCGAGCCGAGCAAATGGCTCTAGCAGCAGCTGACCCACGAGGGCAGATAGTTCTGTCGCGTGGGATGTTCTCGGTGAGTCATGGGAGTTCCTCTCAGAAGGAGAGGGCCCAGCAAGTGGAAGTGGTTTGACCGCTCCGCCAGCACCTTGCCGCGGGACCCCGTGCCCTAGTACCCCCGGAATCGAGCAACAAGAGAATGAAGGGTTCGTTGGTCGCCGCCTTGCAATTCACACAATCTTCTGAACTGAGAGACAAGGCTCAGAGTGAGTACATGGATGCAGTTTACGCTCAGCAAACGGTCAACTCCAAGACTGCCCTCCGCCAGACGTGGACGAAGCTGTGCCAGTCATTGGGATATGAACCAGTCCCACTCACGGCCATCAGGTGCATGTGTGTCGGATGTGCTGTGCGTGGCACTGCGCGACGGCGCAGGGCGCCTGAAGTGCCCTGGAGGTGGTTGGCCTTCCTTTGCGAGAAGGGACCCAGGGACGCAGGAAGCCCGTCATGGCCAAGTGATAGGTACGAGGTGTGGTGTTCGCGACCAGCTTATTCTTCGTGAGCAAGAACTTGTTTGCATCTTCATGAAGGAGATGAGGTGAACTCCAGATTGCTCCAGGTCACACTCAAACTGCCAGTGACCAACAACGAGCCCACAGGTCGCAGGGCGAGGAGGACCCTTGGCTGTATCTGCCAGGCGAACCCGGAGGAGAAGCTGACATGCCCCTACTGCGTGACCGTGCACTTGGTCCAGAGACAAGGACATCGGTTGTTGGCACTATCCTCTACTACCACTGAGGCAACAGTGCGGTCGAAAAGACGGCCATGGTAGAGGCCTTCAAACACGATGCAAGTCGGTTGAGCCACTCCCTATACTGGAGGCGCGCAATCTGCTCACGTCAGAAGTCACACCTTCAGGAGGTCCGGTGTGAAAGAACTGGCCTGGAAGAACGCCCCAATTTGCCGTTGGCATTCTTCGTCGGCATTGCTGGCGTATGTTGAGGAGGCCTATGAAGAGTCACCGGATGGCAACTTGCAGGTCCTGGAGATGAGAGACCAGATCGCTGCCCTGTCCGCGAGGGCCAATGACGTGACCAAAGCCTATGACCAGCTCAAATTCGAATACGAGGAACTTGCTGAGAAATGCAATTTACCCTTGGATCGGTCGGCCATTCTGAAGATGTTCAACCAATGGAGCCATGAGATAGTGGTGAATCTGACGACCGGAAAGCTCCATTCCAAGTCAGGCATTCCTTTCGCAACCACCCAAATGAGTCAGTGGGTGACTGCGCGTGGTTGGCCTTGGATTGCTGCAGGACGCATCGCAAAAGCCGTGATGGAACCATCAGATCTGCGCCAAAACATGCAGACCACACCTTGCGAGAGATGCAAGGAGAAGCTACCAGATTGGGCAAGACCTGACATCGCTGACTAGAACGTGAGCCGCAGCTTTGGCCATGAAAAGGGGTGAGTTGAACTTGCGTGTCAAGAGGCCTGTTAGTTCGGGCCGACTGGACGCGATAGTTCGCTAGACTCCCGATGCCAACATGCGCCCAAACGCTGCAGGCAACAAGAAGTAAACGGATTGCGATGTTTGAGACAAATGAACTTCATATGTTTTAACTTAAGGGTGGCTGGTTGGGGTTTGCGTTGAAACGGGAATGCAGTTTTCGTGAAACAAACTTGTTTGCGCAGTGAAAGCTGCAGGGAGTGAACGCGTTAGGGAGGATTCTTGAGTTTATGCTTTGCTTGGATAACATGTCCTCTCAAGAGACCCCCCCAAGGCGTATTAGGTTGCGCCCAATGGTTCTTGAAGTCTCCCCACCCACCCACAAAGACTGGCTCACTCTTTGTTTCCCTCGATGTGAGTGTTTAAACATGGATGCATGTAACAGGGGTGAGTTGAACTTCCATGTTGATAAGGTCCCTGCTTCTGTGACGAAGTTTATTGTTCCCTCGAACTCGAAACTCATGACGTCACAGGGGCTACTTCCTCAACACCCCAACTTCGGGAGACCCAGCAGTCAAGAGGCCTGTTAGTTCAGGCCGACTGGACGCGATAGTTCGCTAGACTCCCGATGCCAACGCGCGCCCAAATGCTGCAGGCAACGCGAAGTAAAAGGATTGCGACGTTTGAGACAAACGAACTTCATATGTGTTAACTTTAGGGTGGCTGGTTGGGGCTTGCGTTAACGGAAATGCGGTTTTCCATGAAGGGCATATTGATCACGAAGCCCTGATGAGGAGTGGTTCCACATTCTGTCATCTTGATTGGATGTCTCCAAGAAGATGATGAGCCACGACTGGAAGGACAGATGAAAAGGCTGAGGGCGTCCCTTGCATCCCTTGTGTCCCTGGCCCTCCACAAAAGATAAAGAGAGTCTCCAAAGCCCCCTCAAACTCCTCTGCCTGCTTCATAGGAGTAAGGCAGCGTGAGCACGAATTGGCAACTAGGCTTATCTGTGAAATATGCTGAAAGGTTCTAGCTGTAACAAGTACATCGCTACTAGCAACAAGGGCATCGCTAGGAGTAGCTCCTTGCTACCAGTAACGATGCACCTTGTTATATACTAGTAGCTTGCTACTAGTAGTAATGCCCTTGTGACTAGTAGCGATGCACCTTGTTACGAATAGCTTCTAGCTACTTGAGGAATATGCTGAAGGTTCTAGCAGTAACAAGTACCCCTTGTTGTTTGTTTTGGTGCCTGGGCAGATGCCACCAAGCCGAACCAAACCAAGTTGCGGCCGTCGTTCAAGACTTCTCCGCAGGGAGTTGAACATGGACGATGACGATGACTCCTTCCCCTCCTAGGAACAAGGACGCTACTAGGGGCTCCTGGCCTTACTACTAGGAACAAGGGCCTTATTACTAGGAACAAGAAGCTATTAGAAACAAGAATTAGAATAGAATTAATTAGAATGAACAAAAACTTGTGTTCACCCCTATGGTAGCTGGTGGAGCTGGCCAAGAAGTAGTGTGAGGGATACATCTCGTGCTCCAACTTGGCATGTGTGCAATTGGTAACAAGAGCATCGATGCTAGTAGCAAGGTGCCTTACTACTAGTAGCGATGGCCTCCACGCCTCAAATTTCCCCAAAAATCTAGGAACCAAATTATTAGCGGAAACTATCCTGCGTCCTAAGTAGTAGCTACTTGCCGGTAGTAGCTACCTCTCCCTTAATTAAGTAGGCGCCTACTTAATTAAGTAAGTAGGGAGGGGGTGAGCGGGCAAAAATAAATTCATCTCCAAGTTGAATCCAGCTTGAGCCTCTACCATGCCCTTCGTACGCTTTCTCTATTTGGCACCTTGGCAAGGACACCGCGCCTGCTCAGGGAGCTGGCGGCCATTGCAGACAATGAAAGAGTCAACATGAAAACCTTTGTCGGTCCATTTGCAAGATGAAACAGACAGTTTGACAGTCGTCTCAAGCTCCTGGCGCTCTCATTATGTCACGAGATTGGCGTTCACACGCACTTCTGACTTCTGTGTGTCGTGCAGCAACGAGAGCCTGAGCTTGAAACCTGTGTAGCTGCATCAGATTCGAAGGCTTCCTCCAGGACACGCCAGAGTGAGATGGTCGCGTGATGCGTCAGCCGCGGAAGAAAATGTGCTTGCAGCGTCGAGGAAATCCTAAGCCCTCAAAGTGGCATCATTTGGGATTGTATCTTGGGCAACTCGCATGGGTGGATGTTAATTAGAATAGCAGTGTTGTGGCTAGCAACTTGGCAAAGAAGGGTATGTTGATCAGAATTGCTCGCTAGTGGACACAAAATTAACGTCCCCGTGACCTTCCTCCATTTTAGACCTTCGTGTACAGGGTTGTTGCGCGAAAGGTTAAATGATTGGTGGTTCCAAAAGTGTGGACTTTGCTTACGTACTTCCATTTGAGAACTTTAAGCACCTGCCTTCAAGGCCTCTGGGTTTCTCGCTTCCCCAGGGGGCTATGCGGGTCTTTCCCTTCCAGCTGCTTGGTACTGATTGTGTCAAGATGGGACGGGACGGTCGTCCCAAATCGGTTTGTTTGAGAACAAATAAAGTGTTGTTTGGGTTTAGTCGCTATTAGTAGCAAGGGCATTGCTACTAGTAGCAAGAACGTTACCAGTTGCTATAGGGCTTTACTACTAGTAACAAGGACGCTCTTAGATTGGGGGCCATCGCTTGTTTGGTTTTAGTCCAGATCGCCTTGAAAGGTCGATCGGTGTGACCAATGCATCTCTTTGAACATTAGACCTACTGGTGACATGTAACGGTTTCAGAACGATTTTACAGAAGGAGTTGCCGGAATAAACTCCTAGACAGCTGCAGTGAGGCAAGGCTGAGCAGGGTTGCGCAGAACCACTTTGAGTATGTAGATGGACTCCAGTGGATTGGCGTAGTGATCATAGTTTTTGTGTAAACCGTGGTGGGAGGCATTTGATAGCAAACGAGAGGAGCAAATGACAAGTTATCGAGAGCAGGTGACGGAGGCGAGAAGGCCAGCCACAAGTCAGCCAAAATTTTCTGTAAGCTTTACGCTTTCTTCAGCCACTGAAGTCGCTATTAGCAGCAAGGGCATCGCTACTAGTAGCAAGGATGCTATTAGGTTTCAGCTTCCACCGAGTCATTTAGTTGCTGAGGCCGTTGGAGCTGCGGAGTGCTTTGGAGAGTCTGAAGGATCCCAGCGGGCCGCCAGCTGTGCCTTGGAGCGGTGTGGAGTTTAGTTCTCATTCTCCGTAGCAAACATTGCTCCTAGTAGCTTCTTGTTGCTACTAGTAAGGCACTTGTTACTAGAAGCGATGCACTTGTTACTAGTAGCTTCTTGTTCCTAGTAGTAAGGCCAGGAGCCCCATTGCTCCTAGTAGTAATGCCGTGTCGCTACCTCCGCTTCAGCGGTGTGGATTAAGGCTTTAGTGCACGATCGCTAGTACGGTGGACGCCGTCGCTACTAGGGTGGAGGACTTCCGCCAGCATCGCTGAGGTGATTTTGCGTGGTCTTCCGCTGGAAAGCCTATCCTCACAAGATCGCATCGAGTCCGAGGCAGCGGAGCAGGGAAGCGAAGCAGAGAAGTCGCTCAAGAAACTGATTCTTCAGGCTTTTAGGACTCAAGACACACACACTTCGAACTTCGAACTTGGGTTTTCAGTTAGACTCAATTGCCACGTTGGGAAGGAAGGTGAGGGAACGGCAAGGCGAGTGAGTCGGCGCAACAGTATTGTTTTAAAAATGTTTCCGAAAGCGCTCAAAAGAACGTGATGGTCAGCAGCTGCAATGCGGAAGGAAAAAGGTTTGTGGGAGGTATCATGAACCACCATGGAATCAAAACAGGAAAACTGGACAGCGTGAGCAACAGTTTCTTAGCAGGTACACGGTCAGACGTCTCTGACCGCATCCCATGACATCACTAGCTTCGTTGGCCAGCGTCGCGCTGGCCCCCTGCCTTGGATAAAAATCTGGGTGGTGGTGGAAAAGTAAAATAGGTGGAAACCCTTGGAACCAGGGTGTGACACACACACAACACGCCGTATTCGGCGCACAAAGCGAGCGGTGGAAAACGCGGGTCTTTTTCTTCAAAAACCGCCTGCACGCTTGCAGGTTATGCCCTTTTTGGGCGTAGAGGTTGACCAAGGCTTCAGCCGCAGCGGTGGCATTGTGAGGTGGAAAAGTGTAGGTGTAGATGGAGTGAAGTCTTGAAGCTAAGCCGGACAGAGCCAAGCGCTGGCTACCGGCGCTGGTGTGGTCCCTGATTTTCCAGGGTTGGGTGGGTTGTATGTAGGTGATGGTACGTTGCTGGAGGTCAATGTTGAAACCGAGGAGGTGGAAGTCTTCCACCGTCTCCAATTCGACGGGATCGCCGAAAAAGTTGTTGTGGATGAGGGTCTGGATGGCGGGATGTGACAGAAAGTGTTCATTGTGGACGATGAAACGGTTGTCGACATAGCGGTAGTAAGTGAAGTGGAGGGCAGTGTGTTGAAGGAGATTGTTGTGGAGTTGGTGCCAGGAATGCTCAATGAGGGTGATGGCAACGTTGCAAAGGGCAGGGGAGAGCTGGGAGCCAATCCCAGCCCCCCGGATTTGGAAAGTACGAGATGATGGTGCGGCCTTTCCTCCACTGTTTCTTCTCCTTGAGGTGGACGATGCCGTATGGGATCGTAAAATCTTTCTTGAAGCCCCATTTGTAACGTGTGTGAAGGCTGGGGGGGGGATGGTATGTGTCAGGTATTCGTGGATGTTGGACGGTTGGAGTGTTTGCATAGGTGCAAAGAGTTCTGGTCACTGCCAAGTGGCGAGCGCCCCGGCGAAGTATTGGCGTGGACAGAAAATGCGTAGCTGTTGTAGTTCGTGGTCAGCATGGTGGAGGACGACTTGGTCGCCCAGAAATGACTGGAGTTGCCGGAGAAGGCGGGCTGTGAAGCGGGGTTGTTGTTTCAAACGGTCAGTGTGGAGCCTCCATTGGTGCTGGAGGAAAGGCTCCATGTGTTGTGTGAGTGAGGGTGGTAGGCCTTGAATACGTAGCCATTTGGTGAAAGCTGTCTGGAAGGTGAGGAAATATCTGGCTTCGCTGGGGTAAAAAGTGCTGTTCATATTGGCTGCCAAGAAGATGCGGAGGTGCTGTGGTAGTGCAAGTTGTTCAAGAGTGAGGATGTAATGGTTGTCGATTGTGGGTGTAGTGGGATCAAGTAGAATGGTTTGCAGGTGATCGCAAGCGCATGGCAAGTCAGTGGAGGCCGGAGGGTTGTGCAGGGTGTCTTCCCAGGTGCGGTGAAATGAGCCCGGAGAGTCTTGTGGGCCGCTTCCCGCAGACGGTGAGTAGGGAGGTGGAGCGGGATAGCCAGGTGTTTGTGTTGCTGGATTGTGGTTTTGAGCCACTGCTCGCAGTGTCTGGGAAACTGATCGTGAGCTAGGAAAGGTATGGTGAGGAGGATGTTTGGCTTGGGTGGACTGAGGTTGGGGTACTTGAGGGCTTGGTTGATGATATGGAGTGCTCGACTCCGTCCAGGTTCCTCCAAGTTTGATGCCATTCGTCGGATGGCGTAGACCTCCAGGTCAGTGTGTT